ATCGAACCGGTACCTTATTAGTTACTTTAATAGAACTTTCATTTAATTTCATTCAAGCAGGTCGTACTTTAAGGTTAAACGTTCATAATAGATAAAGCGTTAAAGTGGCGTAAAAGCGTAATTTTGTGGTAAAAAGCGGAAGAATTACGCCAAAAGCGGAAGGGTAGGCAGGTCTGCATTTCTTTTAATGATTTTATATTTGCAGGAAAGTGAAAATTAATCCAAGTTTGAGAGTTTAGTGGAAGTTCTCAAAGTAAAAATTGATCTACTAATTTGATTATCTTACCTGTATATCTAATATAAAAAACTCCATCTTTTCCTCCCCTGCAATTCAGTGGAATTGTTGACTATATAATGAACTTAACTTTACTTTTATAGTTGAGATTTTTTCCTGGGTAATCTTTTCTAACCAAGGTTTGCATGATGTACAAGTTTAGTGGATTTTTTTGGTCATGTCTTCCATTAACACTGCCACAGGGTCATATGAGTTTCAAAAACATTTCATGAATCATTATTTTTAGAAAAAACAAAAGAATAGATTTTTAATTCACGGTGTATTACCTAAACGGCTGCTATCGGAAAAAAATAGCGTTCAGTGTTGCTATTCGAAATTTAAACGGCTGCTATCAGAAATAAATATGTTGGATTCTCTTGGAACAAGTTGTAAAACTATGAAATCGTGACCCCAAATCAATATAGTCATTGAAAAAAACAGGTGCACGGAACAAGTAAGGTATTTCTATAAATGTTGCCATGTGCAATTTGCAGAATAGTCCTGTAATAATTTAGATTTAGTAAAATCTCCGAAGCCTGTATCAAATATAAAAGTCAATACGCACATAATTTTCATGCTTTTTTAAATCATCTATTATTCAGATTGTGTTAATTGAGGTATGTGAAGATGCGTCAATCTTAAATAATACTTACATATGATTAAAAATATTTAAAAGTGTATTTTGAAAGAGATATTTGGATGAAATACGATTTTTTAAAGTTACGGTTGCTATCAGAGTCTTAGCATATATGGCACCGGCTATAAACTGAAAACATCTCATCGGTTGAAAATATCTCTTATTTCCATCAATTAAATATCAAATAAAATGGTAGAAAATGCATAAAATATACATGTTAAATATCCCATAATTGCATGTAAAATACGATTCTTATTATATATGCAATGGACTTTTACCAACTTAACTCAGGGACGTAACTTCGATTTTAAAAGGCGGGGGCGGGGACGGGGGGGGGGTCCTAATCTATAAAAGAATTGACATGGAAAAAAAAGGAAAATTGTCGAACTTCTTTCAGTAACATTTTTTTTCACGCGCTAGCGCCTATCCTTCTTTGATTATACTGAAATAAAAAGGATGTGTGTGTAGGGAATGGGGAGGTGTTCTGCTTGGAAGAAAGTCAACAGGCTTAGAACAAAATGGGGGGGGGGGGGGGGGGGGGGGGGGCGGGCGGACATGCCTGTTACTCGAATGTATACACGCCATATTCAAAACATCGACCCCCTCGTCCTATTAATATTTTGGCAAGTTCTTTAATTTATCTAGGTAAAAAAAAGACAAACCCCAGTGGTTCGATAATTATGATTTTTTGAATTCCAAATTTTTTTTTTATCAATTTGACTATCACTTAATATATATAATGTTATCAATCTACTAACCTTAAAAAGCCGTTCATTTTACCAATCTGGCATAATTACACAGTTGGAATACAATAAATTCAATGGTCACATGAATTAATGCTAACAGTCTTGTATGCGCATGTATCATGGTGTCGGAAGCAAATTGAAAGGGGGCGGGCTAAACAAATAAACCATAGATTTGCCCCAGTTTTCAATGCCTTTAAGGCTATATTATAAATACATTTATCTTTGAAAAAAAGGGTAAGGCTAAGACCCCCTCCCCGTTGCGACGCATATGTGTACAGTGTACATGGAAACTCCTCTTTTCAAGTCATACATATAAACAAAGATCGAAAGTAACACACACGGCAAGTCAATCATTTAGAAATAATATAGAAGGAACATTTAGAATATAGTTTCCTTAACTATAATTGCATAACAGATGTAAATTGAGGATGTGATTTCATAAAATTTGAAAACTTAAACCTTTTCCAATAGTAACCGGTGCTGTTGTCTAATAGTAGCCGTAACAGAAGTTTCTTCGAATAAAAACACTATAGATTTTAAAAAACAAATCAAAGCGGACAGTGTTATAAAATAACCAATAATATTAACAAATACACAAAGAACTGTCTATTCACTTTTATCAAATATCTAAAAATTTTGACGCAATTTCAATATATTTCTTACGATCATGTAAATTTGTCCAACGCTTTCGACAGTTTTCCTCTTGTATATCAGCAATCCTTTAATTCATTGAAATTTTAAATATACACGTTAGTTTTAAAAGTTATGTAGCGTTCCGTAAGGGTGAAATACTAAGCAGCCAAACTTTAATAATTGAATTAATAACCATTTTGTTGAGCCAGCGAAGAAAAACACTTACAATTTCGTCCATTTTTTTCCACTAGCAACCGCTCAACTTTCGAATAGCAGTTAAGAACGCGCAATTTTTTCTGATAGCAACCGTTTAGGTACTACACCGTGTAATTGGTTATTAATTCCTTTACCACATCGTCATTTTATACGTAGTAAATTTCACAATAAAAACCAAGTTCCCTAAAAAAATTGTGTTGATGAATTCCTCTATTAAACGGACAGACGCACAGATAAACAGGAAGCTGACATTAAATTTGAATAAAAATGAATCCAATCGTATGACAGGCCTCAGAGAAGTGTGTTAAAATTTCAACCATCTACGGTGGGTAGTTGCTCAGAAAACTTGGACGAAATTTTGTTACGGACGGGGTATAATGAGGAAAAGGCTGAAAAGAGCGATCACAGTTTGCAGTGATTTAATGCAGCCTTTCATAATGGGACAGCATTATGGTTTTGGACAGGTTTCAGATAGCTCCAATTCAAGTGTGGAGGATGTCAGATAAATGAGGATCCCAGCATATGGACATCTGCTGCAGACACTCTCCATGCGTTACATCAAAGCCCGAATTCCGCAATCTCTGCTTGAAGCATGATGTGCTGGAGGTGTGCTGGATATTGCAAACATCTTGAGTTGGGACATAAAAACCAACCAAAACCCCTAGCTTTTACATGTCCAAATTTAGAAACTAGGCATACAGAAACTTTACCTTGTGGCAACATGGTCGTCTTGGTTCTGGAAGACGCATTCCAGTGCCAGCCTGTGTTACACATACAGTGCGCCTTAAGTTCCCCAAGAGGAATAGACAATACACTGGGTACCATTATGCACGTACAGATTGACCCTTAAAAAAAAACAAACACTTTAGTTAACTATATATACATCTATATGTGTGCGTGTGTGTGTTTGGTACAAATATTACCAACAATATGAAGGTAGCAATTCTTTTTACCGAAGGACCATTTTCGCAAACCCCGCATGAAAAGATTCCGCTTCCAATACCTGTAGAGAAAACGTCCAAAGTCCATCCAAAAATTATAAATCTATCTCAGAGAATCTTCTACGGATGAAATAGGATTACTCAAAAGGGGTCTTAAATTTACTCCTACGCCTAAAAAAGACATAGATGTGATCAAAGAGAAAGAAGAACAAGGGCACCGCTAAGCGGAGCATCTCCTCGCGTCAGGAACTTCACTGGTATGGCAATATCTCATAAGAGATAAATTCTCTCGAGGGACATTAAACATGTTATTCAAGATTGATAGTACAATGTACCGGGTAATTTGTTTAATGATCCTCTCAGGAATTCTTTGCTCATATGTAGGCTTGCAGATGGAGAGGTTTGAACACATTTTTTTCCTATAATAGGAACTAACAAGTAACAACCATTTAAATGTGAGGGATCTTTTTGTGCCAGCATTTATTGGACATGGGCCCTTGATTTACAAGGTCTCATTCGAAGGACCAATCTCCGCGTCCCACTAAGGGAATCAAATTACAGATTGTAAATTATTAGTTTTTGTTGTTATTTATTTTTTTTTTACAAAATTTAAAGTGAATAGCTCTTAAACAATCTCCCATGCAGAGTTGTCGTTCGTTCCTCTCCCTTACATGTGAATGTGTGAGCGGATGGTAGAGAGTGGCTCTTGAACCAATCGGATCACCTCGCCCTTTTCCGTCGCACGCTAGAAAAGCGTGCGACGGAAAAGGGCGAGATGATCCGATTAGCTCTTAAACTGGTTCCCTAGCGGAAATGATTATTGTCAACTCGAACATAAAATGTCAGGGTTTCGAGACAGTGAATACAGCGATATCTGAAGAAATATTTCAAGAATGAACTTGACAATGAATAGGCTCCATCTTTTTATACTGTCACACAAGTATGTAAACGCTGAAAATGGTTAATGCAAAGGTTTTCTGTCAATCTTGCCCATAAATGATTATTGTCAACTCGTACATCAATTATCAGGGTTTCGAGGCAGTAAAAACGCAATATCTGAAGAAATATTTCATCAATGAACTTGAAAATGAACAGGCTTCGCCCTTTTATACTGCCACACAAGTATGTAAACGCTGAGAATGGTTAATGCAAAGGTTTTCTTTAAATCTTGCCCACAAGGTGTAACAAACACACTAACACACATACATACGCACATTCGCGATGCTTTTCTCCTCCGCTACTAGTTGACTGAAGGGATAATTTTGTCGGAAGCTTGGACTCAGAATTCAGATTACAGTGATAAAGCCTTTGTCCGAAATAAAAGTAATTTGAAACCAAAATCAAACAGGGACAAACATTGGACGAATATATTGAGCCTCATTGGTTAAGATCGAAGCGGAAGTACATGTGACGTAGTATTCATTCTTTAGACATCCATGCCTATGGTCAGACGTGCTACCCTTCATCCGATTGTGTGTCCATTTTAGGAAAGGTAATTAGTTTTAATTTTGATTTATTGTTTTAATTGCCTTGGTGGCAGAATCTTGGTGGTTCTTTTTGGCCTAGGTGGCAGAGTTTACAAACCTTGGTGGTGTTATAATGTTGAGGCCTATGTGAGCCGAATATACATTTATTTGCCTTGGTGGCAGTGTGTGATAAAATGGATCTTGGTGTTTTACTTTACAATAGACACAAATATGGAATTATGCATATTTGTGTGGTTATCATAATTTATATGAAATGTCTTTTGGTATCTTTATAAAATGGCCTGAATTTTCCCTATGAGTATGCAAGCCGCACGTGCATTTCATGCCATATAGCCTCCCGGTCTCTGTTTTTAACGTTAGGCTTCTAATGCACTGACAGTTTCCTAAAAGCTCATCGGGGTTATTAATTATTTTTTGAATTCTATTTGTAATCTTTTTGAATTTTAAAAGTTATATTTATTTTGACTTGTATTTTTGTTACAAATTTAAAAGAAAAAAGAAATTTAATTTAATCTTGTTCGAGTTATCCCGCATGTGCCTTGGTATTTGCTTACCAGTTACGGTACATTGTTTTTGTTTAGATGGTGTAGCCTACCATATTAAGAATTCTTTAAGAGGGATAAAGCTCTTCCTTGTTATAAAGAAGATAAAGGGAGGGAAACCAGATGCATTAAAAGAATTTGCTTGAGTCTCTTAGGAAAAGAAAACAAAGAGTCTGGAGTTCGAGGAAATCGAGATGCAAGTAAACAGTATCATAACAGAAAGTATGACAGAGTTGTTGGAACTGGCAGGTTTGCATTTTCAGTTATTAATATAGCCTTATAGTATTATCATATTTCATTTGTCAAGATTGAAACACATTTATTGGTAAATCACATAGTTTGTCTGTTTATTTCTTATTTAAGAAAACAAGAGGCCCACGGGCCTTATAGGTCACCTGAGTATTGTGTAACAACTTTCAAACACTTAAATTTGGTTCATGTTTTAAATCAGAGGTCATAAATGCACAATTTTGAAAGAGGCTCCATTGCTTATCATAATTATCAACTTATCCTGCTTACTCTATTTATTTGTACCCAGAAGTAGATCAGAGTAACAAAGAGAAAATGCACTTCCACTTATACCCAGTTGTGCACCTCACCCCAAATGAACCACTGACCCAGGGGCAACATATTTCAAAATCTTGCAAAGTTTATCATAAAATTGTTGATAAATACCAAAGAGCAGATTTCAAAGCATTAATTTATTTTCGGACTATGTAACACAACACCCCCCCCCCCCACCACGACCCATGGGGCATAAAAAAAACACTTTGCTAGATAAACCTTTATTCATCATAAATATATATACTTGGATCATTGGCATAAAACCCAAAAGCAAAGGAAAATATTTGCAAAGAATTAATGTATTTTTAGTACATAATCAATAGAGCCCCGCCCTAACACTAGAAACCCTGGCCATGGGGTCATAAAATTCACAATTTTATAGGAGGCACTCTTGCTCATCATAATTATGTGCTTAGTTAGTTTATTAAATACCCAGAAGCAGAGAAGAAAATTTTCAAAGAATAAATACATTTTCACTATTTAATCTATAGAGCCCCGCCCTAACACCAGAACCCCTGACCCTGGGGCCATAAAATTCACAAATCTGGAAGAGGCACTCTTGCTCGTCGTAACTTGGTACTTAGTTAGTTTATCTAATACCCAGGAACAGAGAAGAAGATTTTCAAAGAATTAATGCATTTTCACTATATAATCTATAGAGCCCCGCCCTAACACCATAACCCCTGACCCTGGGGCCATAAAATTCACAAATCTGGAAGAGGCACTCATGCTCATCATAACTATGTACTTATTTAGTTTATACCCAGGAGCAGAGAAGAAGATTTTCAAAGAAATAATGAATTTTCACTATATTATCAATAGAGCCCCGACCTAGCACTAGAACCCGTGACCCTGGGGCCATGAATTTCACAATTGTGGTAGAAGACTCAATGCTCATTACATTCATGCCAACAGTTTGCCTGCTCGATGTCCAGGAGTAAAGAAGAAGATTGTAAAGATTGCAATAATTTTAGTGGTTTTGGCCCCACCCCCAGGTGCCAGGGGGGCGGGGACCATGAAATTCACAATTTTTGTTCTCATTTACTTATAGATGCTGTATACCAAATTTGGTAGAAATTGGTTCAGGGGTTTCAGAGAAAAAGTTGAAAATGTTCAAATGTTAACACACGACGCACGACGACGGACGAAAACAGATAGCAATAGGTCACCTGAGTTTCTCAGGTGACCTAAAAATGCATATGCATATGCAGTGATAATAATGCACACTCATAATTTAATCTAATTAGCAGTATCGGTAATTGAGATATTGCATGATTTTGCCAATTTTTGAAATATTTTAGTCTAACTCAGGAAGAGATGCAACTCTAGAAGAGGGGAGGCGGGTGCTGCACTGTGTTATTATTGTTGCAAACGAAGTGGGACAGCCCAAGGGGCAAGTTACAGAGGATTCAATGGTACAGTTGATTTTCATAAAAGGGCTTACACATGTGTCATTTCTTTATTTTAAAAAAAATTAGTACAGTAGAATATGATTTTGTTTTGATAGGTCCCTGGTACAAGTACTTCTGCAGGAAGTGAAGGGGTCTCTCCAGATTCAGCGAGGCCTTCAGTTGCAAAACAAATATATATAATACTAGAACAAACAAAAAAATAAACTTTTTGATATATTTTAATCCGATGACCCCATAGATGAAGAACAGTCATATTCTGTCTATAAAGGGCAAGTGCCTTAAGCAATGCTTAATGGGCCTTATTTAGAATATATTACCAAATCGTTCTCTTTTGGAAATAGGTAGATACTAGTAAATATTTCTAATTAAAAACCACGATGAGCAACACCTAAATCAGCATGGATATGAAACAATTGAATATTTAAAATGCCCATGGACACCCTAAAAATCCGGAAAAGTCTTACTGAACCTTCTTTTAGTTGAAGTTTATGTAAATCAAGGCGAATAGATATTCAAATCGACACTTAAACAATCTGATGGTGGATCATAGTCAGGCGCGTTCGTGGAATGTAACTTTTTTGTGCTATATCTGTTTTACAAAATGGAAGAAGTTGTGTAGTTCCCTGTAGTCATTATACTCAAACTAAAAAATTGGTATTCTTGCATTTGACAAAATATACACAATAAAAGTTTCATTGAATTTGAAATCTAAAAGAAGTGTTTAGGTGGCTTTCAATACCTGTTTCACTGTCTTGCATAAGTGTTAAAAATGTCTGACACTTTTATGAATGGCGCTTGACTCTCTTTACCCTACCGTTATATTAAATATAAATACATTCAAATATCTCTAAGCTGCAAGACGTTGAACCTGCCGATGTTTTACGGTGAACACCTTTGAGGAATGTTTACCTGGGTAGAACTCACGTGACTATCAGTATTTAAATAATAATGGGTTCAACATGAGTCATACAGGTAAATACCTCTCACTTGCTATAGGAAAACATTGTACTTTTTGTACATTTTTAATATTTTAACTACCAGCCTAATCGCGTACAAATTTCCTACTTTCACACAAGTTTTATAAATGTATTATGCGTCTTTTGTCATTCGCTCAAGTTTGTACAAAGTTAGGCTCATAGTAATCAAAAGCTTTGAAATGAATGACCTTTTTCGATTAACAATAGAAAATCACAAATGTCGGCTGACCCCTGCCACATTCTATGGTTTTGTTCTTTGTATATTCGTGAATTTCAGCGGTAAAATTTGTTGAATCTTACGGTTTAGAGATCAATCAATAATTTGGGATGAAAATTTTTGCTTAATTTGAATGTTTATTTTTTCACATTTTACCGGGGCCCATAAGTGCACTCGTTCTTTATGCCACACCAGTCCAAGTGCTGTCGATCAAAGAAGACGCCATTGATGTAATTCAAGAAATTAGTGATAATGATCTCGAGAAATATCTTCAGTGCAAAGGTCAGCTGCAGGAGACCATACTGTGGACCCCAAAAAAAGACCGTATTGTGGACCAAAAAAATTAAGAGACTGATAATGAAATGAAATTGGCACTAATTGACGCCTTACGTAACCGTATGGGAGTATCAAACATGTCTGACATGATGGTGAAGAGACAAGAGTCGGGAAAAAAACGTCCATATTACTTTACAAGAAAATCCAAAAGTAGAAATCGCATCCAAACCTGACAGAGGGATAGTGTTTGGGTTTGCCATTTTGACTCCAGTGTCAAGACATACCGTCAAATTCGTTTCTGTAGCAATGGTGAGCGATAATTGACAAAATTTCTCTGATGATGGACGTCTGAAGTATGTATAGGATAATTTTCTCTGCCTGTGTCAGGACGACCTTCTTGTTGAAAGTTTGTATTAAATTCTTGTATTTATTTGTAAAGGGACCACCAACAGTGACACTTCACGTTCTGGAAAACATTCAGATGAGACGGTATGCCAACGGCACGCAGTTCGGAACCACATACGTTGTGTCTTCACACACTGCCTACAGAACAGTCAAGACCCTACTCATACATGAGAAACACCTCAACATCATCAAAGCTGAACAGAATTATGTTGTCCTGGAGGCTGTGTCATTGCAGGATGACATTGTAAAGATTCGCAAGCTATCAGTTGTTTCAACTGCCATAATCATATCAAAAGCCTGAAAGGCTTCAATGGCGTCGAACAAGAAGAACAAAAGATCTGCAGATAGGTCAAGTGAGTGACTCTGGTAACATAATAATGAAATTTAAAAAAAAAAATAGTCTTAACACAAATACAGTACAGGGCCTGATAGCCTTGTGTCCTGGTCCGAAAGGGTCAGGGTTCGAATTGACCAGACATCGTCAGAAATGTCCAATCTCTATATCAATCTAATTTCTTTTAGTCAATCGAAGACATATGAAGAGTTTCATAAATTATTTTAAATAATTGCCATTGTCAGAGCGTTGTTCTGTTGTAGAGTGATTGCATCGTAACTACAACCATAACTCTAATGTTACAAGTACGATCGACTTACGATAGGGCGCGGTAAACAAATGGAGGAAATGGATAAATACAGTAATACTGGCATTACTGGTCAATATCGTCGGTTTTTCGGATAAAATTGGATTGAAGGTCGTAAAAGTAAAGATAAGATTAAAAAATTCAATCTTAATAGTCTTGTTGTATTCGTGTTTATTTTGTAATTATTTTACCGTATATAAGATTGTTTGTATTACATTAATCGGTCCCAAAATGTGATTCATGTCATTCGACGCACCCTCTCTGTAGAAATTCATCCGCAACAACCATAACGTTTTTCTTGCGTAAAAATTCAACATAATATCGTTGTTTTGTAGTAGTATTAATTGAAGATACAATTGATTTAATTTTATATTCAAGCTATTATTCATTGTGAACGTTCTAAAAGAAATTGGGTTACAGCTGCTGCTATTTTCTATTGCGGATACATCCACTGACACGTGCGGTCGCGTAAACCCTGACTGATCCCTAGATGACGATCGGGCAAGCCCGACGCCATAATAATACTACATATAAGTACTATACAATTGCTAACACAAATTTCAGTATAATAACAAAAATATGACATTACTTCGATCATATATTTCCCAAAATGAAATATTACAGTGTTGGGTTAATCTTTAAAGCCTGGCCACGTCTGATAGCAAACGCACTGGCACTCGGTGTTCAAATGCTTTCATAAACTTCAAAAGATTACTAGGCCATATTTACACAAGAAAAAGTACACAGATTTATCCTATTTCCCGAACATGTCAGACCAACGAGGGATGTTCACTCTTCCTTGGCATCTGATTCCATCTGATGTTCTGGACGCCCACGTAAACTTGCTTTGCTCCTGTCTGTTCAAATTTAATAGACTCTTGAGATAAAGAAGTGCGAAATCTAGACACGAGCCAATGTAGGAACAAATTAAAGGCCGGGGGCGACCTAGATTTTTTGCCACCTGGTAAAATAGGCGGTGCTTATCTCCATCACTGTCAGTGCTGCTGATAAGAACTGCACTGAGCTGAGTCAGCTTTGTTTACAAATAACCAACAGTGGGAATTCCATTTCATTTTGTGTGTAAATATAAATAAAGAAGTAAAATCTGTGTGTACTGCAAATCTCTAATTATTCAAGTTTAATTAAGTATACAACATTTACTTATTAACACATAAATGCAGTGTATAAACAGTTAAGATTTTGCAGATAATCAGGACAAAAGTTTCAAACTAATTACATGTAAATAATGGAGTTTGATTTAAAGTTCTTACAATTTGGGATATTTACACATGTCTCCTTCAAATAAAATCAATAACATCAGTTTCTTCTTTTAGCTTTGAAGACACTCTTCACATATCGTGTCCAAATATTTTTCCTTAATTTTTTGTAGTTCTTTTTACCCTTAGCACTTCTTGGCATTCGGTGGTTTGGTCTCCAAACAGATGTATAATCTCTGTCCACGTTTTCATTCCAATGACATACGGCCAAATTGGATCTTGCTCTGTACATGTCGTCAGAAAATGATATTCTTTTGTCCTGGTATACATTCATGACATTGTTGAAGCTTTCAACATAAAATGTATCATGACATAAAATGTAATCCTGTGGATGCTTATAAACAATAGAATTTTTTACGACTCCTAGCAACAACTTCTCGGCACACGGGTTAGAAATAACTTTCCGAGATATTTCATAGTTAGGATCCATTTTGCACCTGGAGGACGAATGACAATTTGAGTGATTGTTCTTGTAATGCTCTACTATGTTCAATAGATGTGCTTGAAGTTTTGCGGTATCTTCATCACAGTTTCTAATGGCCCAGTGAAAGTGAGTGCACACTGGCTCCACTTTGTCATCAAGTTGAGATGACCAGGTTTTTCCCTCAAGATATGCTGGCCCAGAAGATACTTTTTTCAAAGAGGACTTAACTGATTTGACTGCATGCCAGGTGTCATTTTGATTTGTAGACTCACATTCCTCACGGAAATATTTATTAATCGACAGATTCCTGTCATGAGTATGAATTCCTACAGCTACATTTTGATCTTTCAAATGTTGGTATATTCTTTCCGTTCCGAGTTTTTCATGCCGTTGTGACACTTGATCATCAGATTTTGTTATGTGTTGACATGATAAAACTTTGTGCGTATTGTCCCCAATAGCCACTACACTGGAATCTTTGGCATTTTTGCGCCAGCCATGTCGTGCATCAGTCATTATATTTATACTTTCGAGATCTTCATAAGATGCCACTTCCTCCAGAGTTGCTGTGTAGATGGAGTCTTCATACTCCTTTTGAATGTGTTTTTTAGATTGATTAAAAAACTTTTGCCTATCCTGTTTTGATATTTTTCCAATACCTGCTCCATCGGCAAATCTAGTGTAGTGTGATGGAAGCATCCCGCTGCATAATAAAGAATGGTTGACACGGTTATTTACCAAATATTCATTATTGGGCAAATAAGGAGATGATGACCACAGAAAAGTATGCTTACACCCCTCTTCCTCGCATTGAAATTTGGTTGACATTACATGTCCTCTTTGTAGCACTTTCTTCATTTTTAAATTCCTTGAACAATTTTGACCATGGTATTCTGCAATTTCCACCAGTCTCCTCAAAGATTCTTCAGCACACAAGAAGAGTTTTTGATTTAC